GCTCTCGGCGCGTGCCCGTGCGGGACCCCCCGCGCACGCCCGGCCGCGGCTGTACATGCATACACGCGTGCACACACGTGCCTGAACATACACAAGTCCACATGCATGGGCACACGGAGGTCGCTACACACGCGTGCACAAATATGCATTCACACACATGGAAAAAGGTGGATGCGTGCATGCACATGCAAGTCCCACGTGTGCTTGAGCATGCGCGCACACGCGCACATATGTAGACCTACATGCGCATGCATACACGTGCCCTCGCATAGACAGACATGCGTGAATGCATACATACCCATTCACGCATACCTGTGCTCACATGCATGCGCATGTGGACATGCAGGTCTAACCCCTTGCTCAAAACAAGACCATCCCCAACTATATCATCCTTGTGAATGCAGTCATGCACATGCACACATGCACCTATACACCTGTGTATACCCAGGGAGACAGATTTGCCAAGGGCAGAGACAAGTGCTGGGAAAACGGGAGGTAAAGAGATTCAAAGGGCGGAGCTGCCCCATTCTTTATCTCCTCTTTTCCAGTTGCTTCCACTTGCTCTTGGCAGAGCTGTCTCTGGATGCTCTCTCTCGGACACTTTCCTGTTCTTTCCCGTGTATCCGTCCGGCCTGATTGTGTCCCTTGTCCTGATCTCTTCCTCTTTCTTATGTCTTCTGCTTCCTCCAGCCACTGCCAAATTGGCCTCTCTTCTCATCACTTCCTGCTGCAACGGGGCTGTCCCCGTGGATTGCTCCAGTAAGACCTCTCCTGCTGATGCCACAACCTCTTTCTTGCTTTCTCTTGCCCTGGGCAGCGTAACCCAGAGCTTCACCCAGCTTCCTGGATGGTAAGTGTTCTCGGACACGGAGAGCACTGAGTTGTGTTGTCAGGCAGGGGAGGCTCAGGGGTTAACCCTGCTGTAGAGTGTGCATGATATTTGAGAGTGGCTGTGTAGCAAAGTGCTGGTCAAAGTAAAGGAAATTCCACAGCTTCCCTGGGCAGCTTGTTCCATTGTCCTGCTGTTCTGACAGCCGACCAGAGCTGCTTCCAGGACTTGGATCAAAATCTGCTTTGCTGCAGTTTTAACCCATTGCATAGAGCAGGGTGGTCAACCTGTGGCACAGGCAGCCTCTTGTGTGTGACACATGGCAGATCAGGGAAGGGACAGGCTGCAGGGTAGGGAGCAGAAAGCAAAGCAGCAGATGGAGTAGGGAGCACAGAGATGTAGTTAGCATGAAGTCAAGTAGAAGGCAGGGTAGATTTGCTTCTTATAGACTTAACAAAAGTGTGTGTGTATGTGTATTTTATTTAATTATATATTAAGCAGTTATGTGTGTGTATATATATATATATACGCACATACATACATATATAAAAGCTTGTGCTATTATATATATTATAACCCCTGACCTTTGCCACCTGAAGTCCCTTCCATTGCCCCCAGAAGTACTCCTTTTGGGAGGGAGGGTTGCCATCTTCAAACCAGAAAAACAACCAAACCACGTACTTAAAGCCAAACACCTACTATAACATATTTTAATATATATTAGAATAATTCAAGCTTTTATAGATATATGTGTGTGTGGTGTGTGTATGTATAGGTATGTGTATATAACAACATATATACACAGACACACAAACATATATAAATAAAACGTAGCACAAGTTTTTGTGAGCACGGGTCAGGGAACAGAAAGCAGAGCATCAGAAGATCAGGCAGAGGAAGGGAATCAGGCGCTTGGGGAAGGTGCAGGGTTAATTTGTAGCATGCCTGCCAAAAAAGTTGGGCCCACTGGCCTAGACCATCCCTGCCACCTGACTTCTCATGCTAGACCAGGGGCGGGCAATTATTTTGGGCAGAGGGCCGCTTACTGAGTTTTGGCGAGCCATTGAGGGCCACATGACAGGCAGCCCAGGGCAGATAAATATTAATTTTCTAAATTTTTTAGGGGCCCTGTGGGCCAGATAGAATGGCCTGGCAGGCTGTATCTGGCCCCCAGGCCACAGTTTGCCCACCTCTGTGCTAGACTGTAACTCTCAGTTGGTGCCTAAGCTGTTTCTTATATGAGCAAGATGGATTTACTTCGATATGATTATAAAACAAAATTATATTTTATACTTTGTACAAGTGTATTGCATCATGTCTGGGCTGGGGTTGGCTTGCAGGGAGAGAGTAGCTGAAAGCTGAGCCCCAGAAAGGGTTTTGAAGCGTGTATGCTTGTGCACAGAGTGAGGTGTCCGAGGTGGCTGTGGGCTTTGAACCTGGAATCTTCAGCACACAGGGATCTGCAGCTTGAGGTGAAGGACTGGACCCACATCCTCAGAGGCATGTAGGTGCCTAACTCCAAGTCAGTCAAGTCTGCGTGTGCTTCATCAGTAGGCTCGGTAGGATTTGATTTTTATCTATAAACATTGATAAATGGCAATTTCACCTCACAGACCAATGGGAAAATATTTCATAGAATCATAGAAAATTAAGGTTGGAAGGGACCTCAGGTTCTAGTCTAACCCTCTGCTCAAAGCAGGACCATCCCCAACTATATCATCCCAGCCAAATTATTTCAATTATTTCTATCGGTAATAATCACAATTTGTAGAAAGGGGACTGTAACAGGAAACTCTTACCCCTGTTACTGGACAGTGGAGAAAGAAAGGAGGGACAGAGGGTGGTGGGGTTAAAGGGGGAAACAATGGGAGGTTTAATGACTCATCAAGCAATTAGCTGCTCCTTCCCAGGTGTGGGGAAACTGGCTGGAGGGAGATAATAAACTACTTAAACCACCTACCCAAAGCAGGGCTAGGGAGAGGGAGGGGGAGGGTATTGCAGGCTCCAGCCTGGGTGGCAGTAGGGACCTGTCCAGGCATGCCAGCTAAGTGCAGTCTGGTGTTCCCAGAGCTCCGGGACTGCTGTTGCCTTCCTCTTCTGGTCCCTGCCCCCAGCTTTTCCCTGATGAATGAACAGAACTATTTAAAGCAGGTATGACTGATTGATTTAGGGATAGTTTTTATATTTTGACATGCGTTTTTATAAAGCTATTAACAGTCCACTGTCATTACTAAATTGTCTGCCCCCCACACTAATTTTGTGCAATCCTGAAACTGTAAATCAGTAAAAATGGAAATAAATGCTTAAAAATAAGCATTGATTGTAGCTGTTGAAATTTATTAATGCATAAAAATTGAATTTGGCCAAGCCTATTCATCAGGAACTATGCATCTGAATATCTTTGAGTATCTGGCCTAAGTGCTTTTGGTGCTGATTGTAGAAAACTGTTATGTAACTCCTAGAGGTGGCTGAAACTTTTCTTTTGGACCAATGGGCTTGTTGAGTTTGGTTTGGTTTGGTTTTGCTATTTTGATTGGCTTTGTCTATTCCCTACTCCACCCCCACTTCATGATGAGGAGGTTCACTATTATTTCAGTGTTTTTTTTCTGCTTGTTCAATTGCAAAACTTGAATTGCAGTGAAAACAAATATGTTGACTTTGTGAAAAAGAAGTTGCTTTCTGATCAGCAGAACTGCCAGTATGAAGTGGCAGTAGGCTTTTCCTGTGCCAACAAAGTTTACGTAAGCACAGTGGGAAAGGTTTCTATGACAAGAAGTGTGCATAACATCTGAGTATCTAGCTTTGAGACCCTTTGCAGTCCACATCTACCCCTCTTTCTGTTTTTCCCTGCTATTGCTTGTAACTGTCTCTCCTTCCTTCATATCTATTATCCTTGTTAGTTATATTCATTACAGCAGCAGCTTGGAACCAGCCAGGTATTTTGTCCAGGGTGCTGGGTACTGTACAAAGATAGATTGTAGCATCAGTTTGCAAATGCTTCAGGGCAGGTTTTGTGCAGGCACATAGTCCTCCCACACATTTGCCTTTGCCAGCCATAACTATGGTTGCACTTTTTTTGAAGTGTTGCTTGTACTAAGAAGTAGCTAAATGAAAATAGCACCTTCCTCAGCTGATGTTGCATGTGTAATAATCTGTTTGAATTTAGGGATGATTTAAGAAATGAACAGCTGAGAAGGGAGAGTTGGGCTCTATGCCTCCTTGTGTGTTATCAGCAGACTTGTTTAGCAGAGTCCAGTCAGTTTTGCCCATGTGCAGAACACAGTGCGCTGGTGTTGGCCTGCAGAAGCTCTTCCTAGTAAAGGTTTCGGTCAATAAATAGAAACAAGGTCTTTTAAATAGTTTGCAGGTCTTCTAGGACAGTGATTCTCAACCTTTTTTTGTGCTAGGACCCATTTGTAAACTTCAATGGCAAGTCCCCACCCAGTGCCCCTTACTCCTGACCCCCTGTCCCAGGCTGCAGCCCCCCAGTGTGTGGGGCCCCAAGCAGCCCCTCTCAGGCTGGAACTCTGCCTGCCTGTAAGGGAAAAGCCACCATTTCCCATGTTTCTCTCTCTTACAGGAGAATCCATTTTTAAAGTTTTGTTTTAAAGTTCATGACCCTTTCATATATTCTTGTGACCCATTTTTGGGTCATGGCTCACAGGTTGAGAAATGCTGCTCTAGAGGCACTCACTGTGTTCTAGATCATAGAAGCCTGGCGTGTTTGTGTGTGTTTAGCAAGTATGAGGCTTTGAGACCACATTTAGGTGCCTGTTGTTTCCTTGTACTATTTTGTGTTTCTGCAAGAAAGATGACAGTGCAACCAGAGGATAGCACCCGGCTTGACTCATGAGTTGCAGCCTGAATTTGAAGAGCAGGCAGTTTTATTTATTGATTTTTCTTAATAAGAGTGAGCACATTTGTTCTTCCATAATTAAAGCATATCAACTCAGGAGCCACACAGTGCCATTTTGGGAGGACTTTTTAGCATACAAACATACTTCAAAGCTATGGGGCCATGCTATACTGCAGCACTTACCAAAGTGTGGGCCCTGCCTCATTTAAGGAAGCATGAATAGTACCAAGAGAGGCGGGGGGGGGGCACACATGCATCACGGCCCCACTTCTTCAGCCACTCTTGCATCCTGCCATCGTGTCTTTAAGTGGAAGCAGTGGTGACGGAAGTGGCAGCAGCACCTAGAGGACAAGGGTCTGTGTCTGACTGCTGTGGAAGGGCTTAAAGCCACCAGGCTTGGGGAGTGCTGTTGTATGCTGTAGCTAGCATATGCTCAAAAGGAATGGGGACCTGAATGAGCAGTTTGCACAAGGAGCATTAGCCCGAGCATTGCTCTCTGATTTATCTAAGCAGCTGGTGTGAGATCCCAGGTTCTGCTGGAACAGTCCAGTGCTCATCTCTTGGACTGAGCTGATCTCTGGCAGGGAGCACACAACCCATCTGACTATCCCCTGCTCAAGTGAGTTGACTGACTGAAATGAGCTGCTCTTCTTTTGCATGTATTAGGCGTTTCCCCAGGCAGTTGCAGGCAAGTGTATGATTTATTTGCATAGCACTTTCCTTTTCCCATAAACCACGTCATTGTTGTCTGTTAGTCTATAAACCCAGGGGTAGGGTATAGCTGGGCTAGGTGGCTGGGGTGGCTGTGACGCCCCCTGGTGGTCACAACTCCTGCACTCACCCTGACTCCCCATCCTTCCCTCTTGTCTGTACGCTTTGTAATTAGTTAAAGTGATGGAAAGGGAGGCTGTCCTAAAATCCTAGTGAGCTCTTGTCTGTGCTTGTAACTAGTGACTCCCTTCCAGACTCCACAGGCCTTAAACTCACCCCTCAGGTGCTAGGTGGGCCATCCTGGCCCATTGGTGCTCCAGCGCAATAATCACCTTAAGCACTAATTCTGTAGCTTTCCACTTCACCTATGCACATACCTCACAGGTGGGCTCCAGTTTCCACTTGATCAGTCTGGGCCTCCTGGCCCATATCAGTCTGCCTGTTCTTGGGGCTC